CGCGCACACATCCGCACTCCGCTCGCCCCCCGCGCCGCTCGCTACCTGCGCGCACAGCCGGAGCGTGGGCCGGGCACTCACCTCGGCTCCTCTCTCTGCATATGTTAATGCAGTTCTATAGGGGAGCGCGGTTCACGTGTGCTAATTAAAAGCAATAGAGAGAAAGGGCTTCCTTGCGGGAGCCAGGAGTCCCCGGCACTACTCGTAAACGAGCAACTGCACACTGCTCTGTAGTCCCACCGCTATTCATAAAAATGTGTAGAAAATGTACTTTCCTAATGAATTGTTGCTATATATGGTAAGGTAAGAGCTAACCTAATGGATGATAGTGTCTGTTTCCGTTTTTTTTTTTTTTATGTTTTACGTGTAGCCATCTGACCACTTTTTATTGGGTGACATATCATATGAGCACTTTGGTGTAGGGCTTGTAAAACTGGAGCTAGAGGTAGCGCTGGAAATACCGTAAGAACGCCAAAGAATTAAAGTATACGTGTCGTGAAATAGGTACTGAATAATACAGACCCGGGCATGACACTCTACTCTTTATTGGAAAAAAATATATGCCCGACAGTCTTTGGGGAGGGCTAACTTTTGCCCTATACGTTCCGGCAGGTAAGTCATTCATGCCGTAACTAATTATCTATGCATGTACTTAGACTTAAAAAAAATGTGTGTACGGGCAGGCGTCGTTCTTATGGTATAACATTACACGTTTAAAAGCGTAATATTTCTGGACTATAGAAAGAGGATAATATGCTTTTAATCAACTTTGAACTCTCCCGTCTTTTTATGAGAATTTCCCCATTAAGGTAACTCGAAAGTCAGCTAACATTGTTCTTAATGTAATTCAAGGCCTGTGGGTTTTCAGATAAAGAAAATGTAATGATATCGAGAATATTTTAAAATAACCTCTAAAAATGCTTTTTCAGTAAAGATTTAGGCAGGCTGTTTAAAGCTACACATGCTAAAATGAAATGCAACACATTTAATAATGTAGCAGTTAAGACAGAAGGTACAAAATGTCTTCCTGAGAGAAAGCTCTCCATACCTGGATCTACACATGTTAAGAGAATATTTAAAAAAAAAAATCCTGAAATCAGTGGCGATCTGGGTGCGTATATAAGTCGAAATCCTGCAATGAAATATTATGAATACTTTGAAACAGTACCCATTAGCATTATCTATATTGCCTTATCCCTTAAAACGGTATTTTTTTCTAATAGGAAGTTAATTAGGCGATCAAACTTCCAGGTTTGAGCTATTGGTATTAGACCTGAACACGATAATGATACGTGCCTCTCCTCCTAAGACCCAATAAGCATGTTGTGTAGCCTGGTTTGTATTATTAGCACTGTGCATATTTTGTAACCTTATATAAACGGAATCAGTCAGGAAACTGTATATAAAGATACATACATAGCAGAGCCTTAGCAAAAAGGGGGGAGGGAAAAAAAGAGAAGGGGGAGGGGTTTTTTAAAAGAAAGGAAGGAAAGATCAAAGAAAAAGCGATAGCCTGTAACTTTCAGTAAATTAAAAAAAATGCAAATATACCTTTACATATGCATCAGTATTAAAAATAATACACGCTGGAACCAACAGGAGCAGCAGCAGGAGGAGGAGAGGAGAATGGCGCAGCGGTGGAGCCGTGATTATGCACAGGGAGCCGTCTGGAGCGGCCGGCTCCGGGCCGGGCTCTTCTCCGCGCCGCGCCGCAGCCGGCC